TCATCCAAACAGATTTTTCGAAAGTGCATCATTTCTGCTCCCGGCGCTCGGAGGCTTCTGCGTCTCAAGGAGAGGTGGAGCAGACATTAAAGGAGGTAAAAGCAAGCACACGAACGCTATGGTTATGATGTGGCCGCCCCTGGTAAGGCCTCATGTATGAAGAAAGTGCCAGATAGGTCAAAAATAGGTTTAAAATAACTTCGTGCATATCGTTAAAAATAGGTACGCCCAGCCCGCCCGCTCGCCCTTCAAGAAGGCGAGGGGCCCACGCGCGAGACAAATCATGTTACAAAGTAAGTCGTTTAGCCACCTGCAGTATTTCGTTATACTTGGCCTCGTTCTAAACGTTGCCCCGATGTGTCTACTCCTTCGTCCCATTAGCAATATGCGCGCTCTTCGGTGATTCCATTCAGGTCACCTCGTTGTACCCCCCCCCCCGCAAATCTTACTTCCCCACCTCATTATCACCTGCTTTCCCCCGTAAGAAACCGCCGGTGTCCGACGTTGCTTTGGGAGGAGGGGGGAGGAGGAGTGCGAGTGCGATTTTGGCAGTATGACAGAGAGTCGGATACGCGACGCCCGCGCAGGACGGTCGTTGCGCGCAGGCCACATGTGCAAACAAGTTATGGCCTGGATTGCTTGTGTTTGTTCGTTGGTCCCAGGGCCTGTTAAAGCCTGACCTGGGCAAAGTGAAACATGATTCGACAGTGCGGCGCTATATGTATTTCAAGCGCCGCCACATGCATTTCTGACAACAGTAGCGCGTAGTGCTTCGAAATCGCAAAACGTAATTCCCATGGCCACGTTTACACGTCCCCCCCATGTATAATGAGTCGTGCCCCAGCTTCGAACATAGGACATCCCACGCACCCCATGTTTGAGAGGGCACGCGCGACGCAAAACCTTCAAACGCCAATGCAAAATTGAGTTTCGCCTAGAGACAGTCCTTACAATTCCGCGCCTCGCCCAGAGCTTACTATGTCTGCGACTCCCGTTGCTGCATCACGATGCTGCGCCTCGCCGAACGACGTTCCAGGCCAACTAACGTGGGCCAAGCTGCAATGTTGCGCCTTGCCGAGAGACCCCCAGCACAGTGCGGTCGACGCCCCAAAAATGCCTCTCCCATATCTCCCAATAATCATTTGCCGCGTCTGTGCATTTTCGCGGAACGGTGACCCGCCCCACGCCCCCTTTGTTCACCCTGCACACCATCCCGTCCTTAGCCATTTTGGCTCGAGAGGTTCTGGCCCCTCGCTCTGGGAACATGATGGCCCTTCATGTTCATTCATATATGTCCATAGTCTTCATAATGTGGGCTGCCGTGGCAGCGACAGTCGCACTGGAGCCCGAACCGCCCGAAGAGGACCCGTGGGGCTCGGTGGCGGCCATCGACGCAGCCAGCTTGGCCCCAGCAGATGCATCAGCCGCCGCCGAGCCGAACATGTTGTTGAATGCGCTGGACGACACTCTGGCACCCCAGCCGACACAGAAAAGATCGAGAACAGGTCGTCCAGCGTCGTGGGTGCGTTCCGTGTCAGATGATTTGGATTCACAATCAGTGGAGTTGGACTCGCCACCAAGGCCCACGGAGTCTGATTCTCATGCGCCCGCGGCAGAACTGGTGACCAGACACACGGGTGTGATCGCGAGGGACTGGGATAAGAGCATGCCAGTTTCTGTTGTATCCCTTGCGCCGCCCAGCCCATTATCACTTCACCTTGAGTCGTGCGTCGCAATGGGGATGTCACCTGGTGCTGTGCAGCGTCCTATCATCCTGGATGTGGCTCGACATTGGTGCATGTCCTCTGGGCTCGTGCTGAACTGGTCTCAGATCGCCAGGCAGACAGGCCACGACCGCCAGGTCCTGCAGAAAGCGCTTCACCGCTTTGCTGAGGCGTATTTCTTGTGCCAGGTTCAGTTGCGGAAGAAGCTCGAGGGCGCCCTGGTGGAGTCGCTCGGCAGAGAACGGTGCCTGCTGTACGTCGACACGTCACGCTACGACGAGACCCCCATGAAGACGACGCTGAGGGGGGATGCTGCTGCAGGATCCGCAAGTAATGTCAATCTCCACGCTCTTGTCCCCCTGCCGTTTGGCAGGGCACTGCGGCTCATGCACGCCCTCGCTGCTCACGAACGAAGTGCTGCGATGGTCACGAAGTTCATGCAGATTAACCAAGCAGTGTGGTTGCTCGTCAATGTTGGCGATATCCCAGTGCGGCTGTATCTGAATACGGTGTGCCCCCTGCAGCCGATGGAGTCGACGGCTGCGCCAGTGTGCAAGAAAGCAGTGCTACGGAGTTGCGCGGTGTCCACATACAGCGACGGCTTCAAACAACGGATGCGCTTCTGCTGCTCTGACTCTGCGAAGCCCAACATCGTCGTGGAGAACAGCATCGCGTCTGACCGACATGGGTGGGAGTCCTGCACTTGTTCTGCGAAGTTCACGTGACAGCAGGTATCCACAGCAATACGTTTGAGGGTCTCATGCCTCGCACGATTTCGTCTGTGATTCACGCATCCCTTTCCTTGCAGCTCAGCGGCTATTTGAATCATTTTAGGAAGTGCTTGAGGCACGTGATCAAGTCCAGGATCAAGCTCGTCCCCGAGGGGCTGCCAGATGACGCTGTTAAGTACAAGAGATCTGTCATCAAGATGTTTTTCGAGACTGGCCCTGACAGGGAGGCGAAGAAAGTAGTTGTCGCTTGCCTTCCACGCGGCGACTGAAGGAATCGAGATTACGTCGAGGTATGCGTGCCACACGGGCTTGTGACCGACATCGACGTAGCTGCAGTGGCAAGCGTCATCGAGAACGGTCTCAGTTTCGCCCTGGTGAGCGCGAAGCCTAGCGTGTGGCCGAGACATCGGTGGACGGGCTCAGAGATCGCAATTGATTTTTGGGGGCGCCTCGAAGCAATACACGGGCTGGCGTCTGCGACGTATCCTTTGTTTTCTCGAACCCTCGGCAAAGAATTACCCCCCGCGGGCCCTATTGGCGGGGCGGTGGGCGCCGATGGTGCTGCTGGTGTGTTGGACGACGGCGGGGTCGATGATGTCGCGCACGTCCATCACGGGCCAGATGCGGAGGTACCCGCCGACGCTGCTCCAGCTGACCGACATGAGGTCGTCGACAACACTGGCCGCGCTGACTCGGAGCCGAGCTTCGCAGAGAAGAACGCCAAGGACAGGAAGTTGACGCTCGAATGGTTGTCCAGGGATCCCTTGCCTGACCTGATGTTGTTGAGGTGCGCGCTCAATCCCATCATGCGCATGCTCCACGACCAGCTGGACATGGCTAGCCTGCGCTGGGAGCTCAGCCAGAGGGCGGCCGTGGCGAGGTCGCATCAGATGGGACGCCTTCCAGGACTAGGCGCTAGGGACTACAGGATCGTCACCGCGTGCGAGCTCATACTGGAGGAAAATTTCTTCAAAGAGCTCCAGGCGATCTGGCTTGGGCCGCATCACTGGCGTTCGTTTCCAGAGAGGTGCTACACAGAGGAGTTCAACTGTCTGGCGTTCCGCCTGCTCGCGCGGGAAGGCGCGCTGGTGGAGCAGCTCCACGTGTCGAACCACTCCCTCTTCCACTTCAGAGTCTTCGGGCTGCTCGTGGATAGCAGCAGGGCGCAGTCGTTGAACCGAACCCCAGACTGTATGAAGGGGCCGTGGGGTAAAGATTTGTGCGCCCGCTTCCCTGACTTGGTTGGCCAGGACCTCTGGGAGGTGCTGCTCACCCTCGCCATGCTCATTCAGGTGGACATCACCTGCGTGGAGGCGAAGCACGCTGCCGTCCGACGCCAGCTGGAGCAGAGGTCAACCCACACACACACGCTCAACATCGAGGACGCCTCCGCCGAGTGGCTGATGCAGCAGGCTCGCACTCTTCAGAGGACGCGACCTTGGTCTGGCCAGCACCGCCATGAGACCAGTGCGAGCGAGCAGGACAGGGATGCGAGAATCGGGCGCTCAGGGGGCGTCAGGTCGAGGGTTAGCGCGAAGTTATGTTTGCGGACGGGGGAGGGGTGAGTGACACGCGCAATTCTGAGTCCGAACGACGGTGCGCAATGTTTGGGGTGGTGGTGGGGGGGAGCGGCGGGGGCGTGAAGATAACTTATCTGACGGCCTCCCCATCTCGCCAGCCTGGGTTGTGGGTCGGAAGCCTGTCTGTTGGGTGCTCGTTGGGATGTCGCGCGAGGCCTCTCGGTTGGTGACAAGTTTGAAGCCTCTTGGGGGCCGTTCTGGGGTTTCTGAAGGCGTCTTCGGGGCCACCTGGGGATCTGTTGGGGCTTCTCGGGGGGGCTCTCGGGGCCTCCGTGATGCCTCATGGGGGCCTCTTGGGGCGGGGGCTCGGATTTTCGGTTCGTGTTCCCCCTCTCTGGGCCCTCCGTGGGGTTGTCTTTAAACCCTCTGGGGTCGTCTTGGGCGCCTCTGGAGCCGCCTTGGAGCCTGATTTGGGTAGTGCTGGGGTCCGCCTGGGGGGCCTCGTGGGCCGTCTTGAGGCGGTCCTGAGGACACCCTGGACAGTCGTGGAGCGTCGGGAGCTGGAATAATCGACGCCCAGAGCATTGAAACACACGTGGAATATGCATTATGTTGGTATCTCAAGGCCCTCTTGGCTCTTGGGGCCCTGTTTGGGCGTCTCGGAGGCCTCTTGGGCCATCTCGAGGCCATCTTGAGCGTCTCGGGGCGATCGTCGGGCGACCTGGGTTCTTCCAGGGCCGTCTCGAGGGCCGCGCGATGCCCTCCCGCCCCATATCGGGCATTCCACCAGGCCCAACAAAATCGCGCGAGACGCTGCGAGGAACCCCAGGGGGCACGCGACAAGCCCAATAATGTTTGGCACTGTGAGGCCAAGGCCCTTCATGGACTCCCCACGGGTGCTTGAAGGAATACGCATTCCGACCACGCCAACCTGCCGCCGCGCCCAACGGCGCGGTGGCGGATTGGCGGGGTCGGAATGGCATGCGCACGTTGCCCATTCGCCGTGCCCTCACGTTGCAGGGGAGGGGGGTGGAGGACGCCGTGCCCGACGAGCCCGCGCAGGAGATGAAGCGCATGAGGCCAGGGGGCTCTTGGAGGGCCCATGTGAGCACGGCGACTTCGGCTGCGGGAGGGATGAGAGGTTGTGACATCAGAGCCCTGAGCGCCCAGTACAGAGAGATCAAACAACGGGGCGGTGACGATTGGAACAGACTTGTATGTGATGGCAACCTCGCCACTGTCGCTGCCAGGGCTGAGCGCGCTGGCCCCAAGGCAGGGGCGTTCGGACTGAACGAGAAGCAGCGCGCTGCCATGAGACTTCGGGCAACGCGGCAGGCGCAGGCCAATCGCGTGCAGTCGACGAGCGGCGACGTGGTGAGCCTTCTCCCAGGGGGCACTTCATTCATGGATGTATCTTGCCACGTGGCCGTTGCCAAGGAGTTGAGTTCACAGAATCGGCAGCGGGTTGCCCAGCAGGAGAAGGATATTCAGGACACGCTTTCTGAGTTCGAGGTTGGCAGTGGCGCTGGTTTCGTGGAGGAGCTCCGCAGGCAAATACCTATATTGCGGCAGTCTGATATTGTTCCAGTGCCATGCGAGGGCCGTGGTCATTGCTACTTCGTGCGCCCCCCTTCAGAGCAGCATGCGAAAGTTGGCGTTGCGTGGGCGGAGGCGTTCAGCAAATGCAACTTAGGGCAATACCTAGAGCAACAATGGTCGCAGAGACACCGCACAATCATGAGGGACGATTGCGCTCCTGTCGATGCCCCAGCTGCGCTCCTCACTCCGTGCATGAAGGCTGGCATCTGCATTTGTCAAGGGGATGGGCTGCGCATGTGGAAGTTTCGGAATAAGTACTTGGTCCATCTCAAGGCCGCCTGCCCACCGCGATCTTCGATGCGAGCATTGCTGGTCGATGGCTTCATCGCGTGTCGGTTTGAGGGTTCGCCATTGGGGGGCGCCGAGGGACCCCCTGTGGAACTGTGGTTCCACGTCGCCGCGATGTACTTGAGCCCATTTCGGCCGACCTTCAGCAAATTGCAGAAGCCAGCTGCTCAGCCTGAGGATGAGCGGAAGATCAAGTTGAAGGCTCGCGGGATGTTCGTGTCTGCCATGCGTTTCTCCAGGTTAAATGCTTTTCCTGTGCGCCCCGACGCGTAGCCGCATAGCCGATGCATTTCCAGTGCGCGCGCCTCGCGTATCTCCCAGCCCCCGCCCCCCTTGGCATTGAGGTGTTTGTGTCTGGCAATGCAGAGGGTTGAGGGCAAACGGTTTCATAGGGGATCCCTCGGCGCCCCCCAATATGCCGCAGGCTGTCGGCAGCTTCTACACAGAGATGCAGGCCTTCAGCGAAATGTCCTTGAACACCAAGTGGACAGTCGAGTTCTTCCAGATTTGCTCTACCAGCTTGGCTCTGCCGTATCTTTCGCCAGACATTGTATCAGTTGAGAGCGCCAGCCCTGTCTACCATGCCTGGCCGCCCTTGCGGGAGAAGAGGGGCACGAACGTGAAAGATACTTCTGCCCCTGATTGGTCTTCAGTTGCGTCGGGCTCACAGGCGCTGGCAGACGGCGACAGCTGCGACCCCGAGGAGGACCTCACCAAGGATGAGGGCGCTGAGGGAGGCGGCACGGGTGGCGAGGGTGTCGAGCCACGCAGCGACTTGGATGAGTTAATGGACATGTTTCTGGCCATGATCCCCGATGACGGGGCCGACGGAGCTGGCGGCGACACTGGTTCTTCTTCTTCTTCTTCTGGCCCCAGTGGAGGCGATGGCGGCGGGGCTGCCAGTTCAGCGGCATCGGGTTCAGGAGAGCCGCCACCGCCGCCGCCCCCGCTGCCGCCGCCTGAGGAGCTGCCGCCGGCGGGAGCCGCTCCACTGCCGCCAGAGCTGGTTCCGCCACTTGCCGCTGGGCCTCCTGTGCGCGGCGGCCAGAGACCTGCCGAGGCAACTGTTCACGTGGGCACGGGGAAGATCAGCTACTATGAGTCGAAGAACTGTTTCGAGGCAGTCTGCTCCAAGCACGGGTGCGTCCTGACGCGAACCTCCAGGTTGAAGAGAGTTGCGGGTGGAGCGATGAAAGGAGGGAGGCCGTGCGGCTTCCTCGCGGCATGGCTGGTCGATGGCCACGGATGCCACAGGAAGGTCGAGCACGCGGACAACGTGCGGCTCCGAGCCTTGGACCGCGACCAGAGATTGTTGGCGCGCAGCGGTCTTGAGGCCACTGACGCAGGGAGGAAGCTCCTCAGTTTTGAACGCGCCCTTGCTGATGGCGAGGAGAGCGAGTCTCTGGATTTGTCGGGGTACGTGATGGGAGTTTAGCATGCGCCCCTTTCTGCTGGCAGATTTACCCTGCGAGCTGGCGAAGGGGGGCGCATTGCGCATCGCCCCGAGATGTCACGCATCCTGGTGGCAAGCATGTGTTCTGTTCGCGCGTCGGCGCTGCGCCTGCACGCGCTGTCTGCCGACGCCGCTCTCAGGTTGCACCGAGCCAGCTAGCTATAGTCAAATCATCCCCCCTCCCCTCCGTCCTTAAGAAGAGCCTATCGCCTCTCCCCTCCCCGCCCGCCCTCCCCCGAGTGGTCCGCGCCCTTGCGGCGCTCATCTGTCGCTGCGACCCACGGTAGCAATGATACCCCGAATGAGCGATCAACTGCATCCAAAATGTAGACCATTAGATGACACCCGCTATCCAACCCGCTTAAACCATATGACTAGGTAGTGTCTAAGTTCGTGTATGGCCACGGTCCCATAGCAAACAGCTCTTAGGACTAAATTGTTGGCGCTTCGCGAATCCCCACCAACCCATCCAGAAACGATGCCCCGAGGAATTGCCTCGACCAGGGAAGTGGGCAGCACGCAGAGGAAGGCAGTATGAGACGTCTTGGGGTATCTTGAGCCGTCTGGGAGGTCATCGTGGGCTCCCCCAGGCACTCTTGGAGTCATCTTAATCAGTGCCCCCCCCAAGAGGCCACCATGTGGCTAAAACCTTAGTAGCATCAATGATTGGGCATTCTCGCCGAGGCCTCTTGGAGCTTCTTGGGTGCCTCTGGGGGGTCTCTTGGGGCCTCTTGGGGGTCTCTTGGGAACCTCTTGGGGGCATCCTGAGGGCCTCTTGGGGCTGCCTGGCCACCTCGTGGGGCCCTCCTGGGACACCCCTGGGGGCCTTCGGGGCCATCGATGGGCCGTCTTGGGCGAGATCGATTACAGGACGGGGGGGGGTCTAATTGCAGTCCCCCCTCAGGGTGCCAACATGTGGCCAACGCCAACGTAAAGCAAATGATGTTGGCTTCCTCGCCGAGGCCGTTTTGGACGCTCAGGCGACTCGCGGGGCCCCCCGCCCAGGTCCAGTGGAGGGGGTAGGGGGAGGGGTAACGCCCTCCCCGAAGGGGAAGACGGGCATGTGGAAGAGGAAGCCCTCTAAACCACCGACGCCCAGAGGGCCGGTGGGATTCGCAGTTGTAGTCGGCAATGCATCGCCATCATTACGTCGCCGTTCGGGTCGAAAGTTTCCAGGGCAGCGGGCGCGCGCAGGCATTTCTCTCACCGCGCCCCGTTGGCCAATAATGTCTTGCGAAGTGAGTGGATGGCTGAACTTAGTGATGACGGACCCGAGCAAACCCATGGGCTATGAGAAGCGGCTTGATGTCGAACTCCCGTGCACGTTATTCATTATCGGAGGAGGCCCCACATCCGCAACTCCAGGACAGAATCCCGAGATCCCTTCAGAGCCCGCCGAACCCGCTACAGTGATCCATCGTGCAGGGACACCAAAACATCGTAATCCTGAGCCTCATGCGGATAGTCATCCACGCTACCCAACAGATGGTGCAATCGACTCTGGCGGACGGGCTCACGGAGCATCAGAGGAGCCGCGCAAGGGTGTCGCGTCAGAGGCCCCCGCCACGCTCGCGGCGAGCGAGGCAGATTCTGACGGGCGCCCTGCCGCCAGCAATCATGAAGGCCAGTCTCGTTTCACAAAGGGTCCGAGTTCTGCGATTGGTGGCTCGGCGGCGCCAGAGCCCGATGATGTTTCTGGCGCCAAGCAGGTTGCAGTTGCGTCGGCTTGTTTTGCTGCGGCTGACGGCGCGCAAGGGCCGCCGTCTCGCCGCTTCCCGTTTGATCTCCCAGGCTGCCGAAACACAATCATTCAGGTTTCAGATAGCGCTGATGAGGTGCCCTTGCAGCAGATTGCACCGTCAGGCGACTCTTCTTTGAAGCGCGCAGCTGGTGAGCGTTCGCCAAAGAGCCCTGATGTCATGCGGCCGACTCTTGAGACGCCAGCCAGGCTGACCTCTGATCCTGTGAGTGCGAGCGGCTGGATGCAGGCGCCTAAGAAGCGGCGTAATTGGACGCTGAAGTCGGATCAGAGCGAGTCGCGCCCCTCGTGCCGGTCCGATGCCGAGGTATCCAGGGCCCAGGGCATGCATGACTGGCGCGAGCCAGCTCGCACTGTCGAAGATCCAGGCGCGGCCCTTGGTGACCTGCTAGAGCGCCCCAGTGATTTGCTGCAGGAGTTTGAACAATGATGGCCCTAGCTATGGTCGATGCTGCGACCGAGGCAGGGTAGCTGCGAGGGTAGCTGGGAAGGGGTTCGATGACGACATCGGTGCATATTGAAACAAGGAGGGGGGGGGAGAAGGAATGGGAGGAGGACGACCATGCAGCGTCAACATCAGCTCGCAATACATTCGAAAGCTGCATGTGCAGCAGAGTGGGTTTCAGTCTGCCTGGCCACTTGCGCTGCCCGCAATTTTAAAGATTGCCAGCCGCAGCCCTTCGTTGAGATAAGCTGAGCTGGTGGCAGGGGGTACTTGCCCCGTGGGCCCTGCCGAACGTTCGAGGTTGAACAAAGATGAATGGTCGCGGGGTGCGACCGCCAACCACTTTAGAAAACAAGGGTTGTATTTAGTCCTCCTCCCACTCCTCTCGCGTAGAACCAATCGCCCTTGAAATGATACGGCACCTTAAACGCCTACTAACCAAGTGTCCCTTAGGAGCGCAGGTGCGTGTTACCTCCTGTAAGGTCCCACGTGGGGTCCCCCAAGGGGTTCGGACCTCTCTGCGACAGAATATACACGCCCAAAAGCCCCCCCCCAAAAAAGCTGCCCGACATGGGCAAACTATGGCCAAAAGCACGTTTGGTGTCCACTACCGAATTGCCGCACACCGTAGACTACCCTCGCCTTTCCCCCAACACTCTCTGTCCAACGCAAATTTTGCTATGCAGTCACTCAAGTATTCCGTGCCCCCGCAAACATGTACAGTATTCCCCCACTGTGTTGTGCTATTGTTACCACTACACATTAGAAGTTACTGTGAAGCATCACTAGCTTGCAGATCGCAAATGGGAGAGGGAGCAGAGGCGACGAGGACGGGTGGATGCGAATTGGGAGGCGATGGGGGATGGAGAGCGGGAGGGGTGCCAGAGGGGAGGAGGAGGCCGTGGGCAGATAAAGGCAAGGGTGGATGAGGTCGTGGCGACGACGATAGGTCCAAAGAGTTAGTTTGGACCCCCGACGTGGTCCCCGACCTACTTCGGAACCTACTTTGGCACCCGCGCTGGGGCACTCGACCTTCTTTTCCTATCTCCGTGCTCGATACATATAGCTAAAAAGTAGGTCGGGGGGGTCGGCCTCCCATTCTGCAGATAGGTCAGTGACCAAGCCTTGGTTTCGAGATAGGTCCAGCGAGCTTCTGTCAGCCCCATCAGACCTGGCAACTAGGTTAGCAAACCCATGCTCATTAAACGTTGTCTTCCGTTGCGCCAATGGCGGCACGTCGCTTGACCACACTCCGTCATGTGCAAAAGTAGGTCACAAGTAGGTCACAAGTAGGTCAAAAGTAGGTCACAAGTAGGTCAAAAGTAGGTTACGGCAGTTCGCAAGTAGGTCTAAAGTAGGTCAAAAGTAGGTCCAAAGTAAGTCAAAAGTAGGTCCAGGCAGCACTTAAGCCATGTATACATGCATCGGCGTATACCACTTGCGTGTACATATGCTGTCGTGGCTGCGTGCCCTAAGTCCCCCCCCCCGCCCACCCTTGTCCTGATTGCGATCTGGTAGTTCGTGCACGTTGTGGGTTGCTCTACTGCCCTGGCTGGGGTCGGCCTCATTGCAGCAGGCTCTCGTCGCACTGATGTCAGGATGGCCGCCGTTGGGCCAGGTGGAGGGAGCTGTTCTCCTCGGCGGTTCTGGCATTCCTGTTTGCGGCGAGGCTGGAGAGTTTCGGAGTCGTGGAGTTCAGGGGTTCTGGCAACATTGCTCTGTTCTCGCTCCCCACCTCCCTGCCCGCCAACCCCAGTGGGCTTCCAGGATCAAGCTTCTTGCTCTGGAGAGAGCCCCCGTTCCTCGCCCAGGCAAGGAGCGTCCAAGGTCTCCTGGCGCGCGATGGCCGATCAAGGCCCTCTTCCGCAGCAGCCTCACGGAGACGCAGCTGGCGCCGCTGGTGGTCCTGCTCCTGCCAAGCTCGCCCCGCACAAGAGGGCCCTAGACAAGGGCTCCCTGCACCTGGCGGTCAGCGAGGAGACCGAGAACATGTGGGGCCGTGTCGGCGCAGCTGGGGCGAAGGTTCCCATCCCTGTCTTCGTCGGCGTCGTCGTCGACTTCCCTCGCCGCCCTTCCCCCCTCCTCGACGTCGCCCTCGCC